TTTACACACACACACACACACACACACACACACACACACACACACACACACATATATATATATATATATATATATATATATATATATATATATAGAGTTGTGCCCTTCTGTATACACATACTGTAATGTGGATTTATATTTATATAAGTCCACTCACGTTTGAAAGAACATATTGTTCTGGAATATAAGATGACTTTATCACATTAAACTGACTTTTTGCGAAAAAAAGTGAAATTCAATAACAAATGTAATAAAAATAATAAAATATGTTAATTAAACTTGGAGTTTTGTAATTGAAAATTGTTTTTATATAAAAATCAGTTTGAACTGCAGATAATGTGATTTTTCGGTTTGACTGCGAATGACAGAAATTTCTAGCCTCAGTTAAAGCCATTTTTCATTTAAAAAAACAAAAAACAAAAAGGCACCAAAAATCAATAACTGAGCTGAGAATAAAAGAAACTGTTTTTAAAAATTTTCTGCAATTTCAGCAATGAATTTTGTGCACGTACCATATATATATATATATATATATATATATATATATATATATATATATATATATATATATATATATACTCATGCATATCATGCAACCTTTAAAGACCTAAATCTGAAGCTGACTACAGTAAATGGATATATAATTTGGTCAATGGTGTCGCTAGGGCCAGCAGTACATATGCTAATTTTATGTTATTATTATTTTTATTTAGCAATTCACCCCAAGCAAGGCAGGAGTGCTACTAGCATGCAAGGGGTTACAGAGGATTGAGAACAAGAATAAAGAGGTGTGTTTGAGGAAAGGATACAGAGAAGGACGGGGAACAAGGTCAAGGTATCAAAAGATGTCAATTGACATTACACTTGAATATTATAATTATCAGGGAAGCAAGCAAGAGAAAGGGAGTTCCACAGATGGGAAGTGTGAGAGAAGAAGCTGAGTAGAAAAGACAGTTGCATTTAACCGTTTTGACAGTGAAAGGGTGTCCGAGATACCAGCCTAGCTCACTTAAATTCATGCAGTCTGGGAACCAGCAAATGTAGCTCATTAGAACAGTTGCCGTGAAAATACTTGTAGAAGAGACAGAGGGAAGCCACAGCATATCTATGAGAAAGCAACTGTAGACGAGATGCCAGATCAGCACCTATCACATTGCATATATGTCTCTGGATTTTATCAAGGACCTCGAGATGTACAGCGGGGGCACCAGACCATATTTCGTGTATGATGTGACCCCTTTAAAATTAGCTTCAAAATTAGGACTAAGACATAAGGGTTACTGGGTGTGGAAGAATTAGAAAATGAAAATATTACTAAGGAGCAAGAACAAAAGACAGGAAGACAGTAGATAGTGATTGACATTGCATTTAAATTTTTGAAGATTAAAGTTGGCTGGAAAGCATGAGGCCAGAAAAGAGTTCTACAAGTGAAAAGTGTGAGAAAGGAAACTGTTAGCATAGAACTTATTGTTACATCTAACCAATTCAACTTTAAAATGAGACCTAACTGCCAATCTAGTACTGCACTTAAATTCATGAAGTCTAGGTCACATAGCAAAGAGCTCTTTTACCATGAAAGTATTTATAGAAAAGGTACAAGGAAGGAACATTATGGTGGTGGGAAAGAAAAGCCAGGTCATGACCAATAATATTGCTGATTCTTTAGATTTTTTCAAGAATCTTTAAATATATAGCAGGAGCATTGGACCATATCTGGCAGCAATATTTTAAGCATGGATAATTGGTTGACATACATATATAAGATAGATTCTGGTGATAAAAATTGTCTAGCACAATACAGTGAATTAACTTTCTTAGCAGCTGACCTGGCAATGGATTCAGTATAGTCTTTCCACTTTATATTAGCCTGAGAAGATGCAATAATTTGCTCTCCTGGAGGTTAGCATCAGCCATGCTGACAGAAGGGGGGTCTTTCAGATAATAAATAGCAGTTTTAATTTGGAGGTGTTAAAATTAACAAGCCATTCTTTGCCCCAGTTAACAACAGACTGAAGGTTGTTTTTGACATCAGCTGCCAATTTGACTTTTTGGAACTGAAAGACAGTTGAAATTTCTGCGGCACACTAACAAAATAAGGAGTGTGTGTGAACAGATGGTAGAATGGAAAGTTGGAGGGTTACTAAATTGGGTAAATATTGGTAAGAGTTACAAAGGATAGAAAGTTGTGGAGAGCCATGATTGGCCATGGCCTGAGGGGACACGGTGCATAAAACAAGGATTATCATTGTGCTGATTGGGTCACCAGGTAAGGGAAGAATCTGATGTTGAGACCCAAACAACCAATGATCTTGGTTATAAACATTATGCATATATATATATATATATATATATATATATATATATATATATATATATATTTTTTTCTAAGCTTAGCTTAGATGTGGTACAAGACTGAAAGTATGGGGGCACCCAGTGAGGATCAAACTCACTATTCAGTCGTAATTATTATTCTCGCAAGACAAGCTTGCTAACCATTACACCACCTTAAGGTTCCCAATATTGTGATTTTCTAAGTGTAGCTCAGATGCAGCACAAGGTCGAAAGTATGGGGCACCCAGTGAGGATTGAACTCACTATTCAATTGTAACTGTTTTAGTGAGACATGCTTGCTAACCATTACACCACACTGAGGTGCCCAATCATGCGTATATATGTGTGTGTGTGGGAGAGAGACATCATGTGATCTAAAAGCATGCATCTATGAACACAAGAGAGACTGGCATTTGGACAAAAGATCTCTCTTGTTTTACATTGAAACGATGCTGGACATAACTTTGATTTCACTAATGCCACCCTAATTAAAAAAGAACATAATTCTTTAAGGAGAAAATACATTGAAAACTTCATAATATTATTACAAACTGTAAACATACATCTAAAACATTACATTGCCATCTTTCTTTGAATCTATTCTTTAAGAATGTAGTATCAACCTAATACATGCTTAAAGAGATCAGCCATAAATTAGAATCATGTAACACCCCGCTGCAATGGCTGAAGACATTAGAACTTCCACTAGAAAGATACACATACACAATTACAAATACATATTACCATCTGATGTCCACTTAGACATACAAGAATCTTCACAAACTTGCTTACGTATAGTATTGTCTACAGTTTTAATGTATGTGACATGTGCTTAACCAACGAGAACTGACCCAAACATAATTGAAAATACCAGTTTCTGTCTTTTTGTCTGTTTTCTCTCAATCTCTGATGAAGCTTTATTAAAAGTGAAACATCTTAGATTGTTTCCTATTCTTTTATTTTATCATCCTGTTGGATTCCAATCCATATTTGATTTTTAACTCTCTCTCATATATATATATGAGAGAGTTAAAAATCACCTCAAGGTACTAGAGTCCTTGTCTATCAGATCCTGTTAGCCTTCCCTTTGTAAACAGAGGGAATGCTTGCTGGGTCTGAATATTATTGGACTCTAGTTTCTTGAAATTCATAATATTTTTTTTTTTTTTCCCCATTCGATTACACTCATTAATTAAAAATTAATTTACACGCTTTTTAAATTCCCAGAATAAATAAACTTGATAAGTCCTGGGATGAAACCGGTTGTTTTTATTTTAGCTTTTGCTTTTAAAAATGCCTTATAAATATTGTCTTTTTCCTATCTATTATTAAATTCTGTACCAAAAAAAATATATATATATATATATATATATATATATATATATATATATATATATATATATATATATAAATTTAATCATTTCACACTAAACAAGGCAATAAAGCCACTAAGATTCAAAGGTGAAAAAATACAAGAAAAAGAATGAGAAAATATGATAGTGTGAAAACATTAGAAAAAGAAAAATATCAAGGAGAGAGAACAATAAAAGAACTAGAATTAATACAGAAGATAACAATTGACATTGCATTTCAATTTTTGAAGATCAAAATGGCCAAAATCCCGTAAAAAGAATACCAGATTAATTAGAGTAGACTGGGTTCTCTAGCTATGGTTGCTAACCAGTTTGGGAAAAAGACAACTTGTAAGTAGCCCTGGCATAGCACATACTATGCACTCATTGACCAGGTGGAGTTTACAGTGACTATAATCTAAACTACAGCCAACCTATGACAGTTTTTTTTTTATGTTTTTTAATCAAATTTACTCCAAGCAAGGCAGTAAAGCCACTAAGACACTAGAGGTTACTTGGTGTGAAAGACTCAGAAAACAAACATTACAAAGGAGCATAAACAATAGAAGAGTAGAGACCTTGTTACCAAACTCGTTCTGTGCTTAAATTCATAAATTCTAGGTACCATAGTGAAGAGCTCATCTGAAAAATTACCATGAAAGTATAGAAAAGGCAGAGAGAAGCAATTTTACAGTGTTTATTATTATTATTATTATCATCCTGAGAATTTGACATCTTTTTCAGACCACAGAACATCTGGTAAAAAGTCTTCCAAAGATAACTAGAGCTATAATATTCAATAAATCATGAAAAGTTCAAGCTCACTGGACTTATTTCACTAACTCCAGAGTTTTACGCCAAAATGCTTGTCAGTGTCTGATGTTCAATAAATTTATCAAACATCTAAACTTTTACTGTTTCATTAACAGATCACGACATCTATCAGAGAGATGAAATTTAAATTTTTATTATTCTATTATTCCAAAATTTTATCACATCAGCAGATAGTTATTAATGTCAAAAACTGAGCACAAACAGTTATTAATTAAAAAATTAGTAATTAATGCATATTATCCATAACTACATGTACATAATGTCGTTTTTGATAAAAGTTAAAAAATAATCATAAATATATAAAAAATGTGTATATTGTCAAAAATTCCTTTTTACATAATATAGCTATTTGTGCTATGTTATAATGCTTATTAACTAAACAATAATAATACTAAATAAAGTTTTTAAACATTAAAGTATATTTAATCACATCTCCCAAATAGCTGTTGTGATATGTAAATATATAGTATAACTTAATTCAAGAAGAGAGAAAATAAATATATCTATCTCTGTTCATATCTATCTATCTATTTATCTATGTTCATTTATGCCTATTTATCTATTTCGATCTCTTAATATCTCTCTCTATCTCAGTCTGTATATATCTATCTATCTATCTTCATATATATCTATTTATCTATCTCAATCTCTTATTATGTCTTTCTATCTCAGTCTTTATCTATCTATCTATCTATCTATCTCAGTCTCTTAACACACACACACACACACACACATATATATATATATATATATATATATATATATATATATATATATATGGAAAATTATTGACAAGGCTAGAATATGTAAAGCTTGGGATGACCCATGCCCTTTGTGCCTTCATGAAAAATTGCACATTATTAAACTTCTGAATAATAATAATCTATTAAATAATAGACACGAGTTAACGGTTTTTGTAGGCATCATCAGATTTTGGTTTGAAATAAAATTTATATAACTTGTTTAACAAATAACCCAATCATCAGATTCATAGTAGAAATTATTAACTACAAACTTGCATACAACATAACACCCTTCATAATCCATAGCCCAAATTAGTAGTTTAAACACCTTACATAAAAAGATAACCCTTTATGAAGTCGTCAAAAAACAAACGTTACGAAAGTCTTTCTTTTATATGCACAATTCCTTTCATAATAAAATAAAATAAAATAAATAAATAAATCTCCATAGACAAGCCAACTTGATGAAAGCTTAATACATCTTCATTTCATTTTTGACACCCTTACCTTCCTCCGACTTGACACCTTGAAAGTATCTCTATACCGCTACTTATCATTAACACCCTACACTCGCCTACCCATTTTAGACAATTACGCCCTAGCTGTTACCATGGTGATTTTGATTTCAATTATTAAAACAAGTAAATTTCAGATATACGTTATTCCAACAAAAATTTCGCTGAAGATGGAACGAGCCCTTTTTTAATTTCAACTCAATTTAATTTAAAGGATTATATTGAAGTTTTCGGCTCTTGTTTTGAAACATGAGACCTCTTATGTAGCGATTTGGAATCATATTTTAAATAAATAATTATATATATATATATATATATATATATATATATATATATATCAGTCTGTTCATATCTATCTATCTATCAAATTATTTTAGGGATATTATCCATGCAGTAGAAAGTTTGTTCACCCCTGAATTACTCTGACAAGAATTCACCAAGCAACTAACTGAAAGTCTACGATTTACCTTGACTCCCCACTGAGCCAAGATGTGACACTAGGCCATTTTTAATGTGGGAACCCAAGTGTTTCCATTCAGGCCACTGGTCATAGCTTGTCTAAGCTAGTCATACCACTGCTATGGAACAGATGTAGTGCAATGGGTAATGGAAGGGATTAGAGGTCTCTGGTGCAGAACAGATACTACAACTGTTTCATCTGCTCTAACAGAAAAAAAAACCCCTTCTCCTCCTCTGCCTCTTACCAAAGAAGAGCCCCCAACTAACTGAAAGTCCTCCCATCAAGAGAAAAACAACTAGCTTAAATTGAGCTATTTGGGCTGGGCAACACGGTTAATCAAACAAAGCATTAGTTTTTATAACCAGAAGGATGTAAGGTCAATCTCTATAAGGGGTAACAAATATTATCCATATAATAGAAAACATATACACTGCAGAAAAAAAGAAGAAAAAAGTCTGTAAAGTTTGCTGTTTGAAAATGTGTGGCTGGCTGACATTAAGAAAATTGGTTGTCAAGCAGCAAAATCTCTGGCAGAGAGAAGTCCCTTTTTCACTACCACATTCCGGAGCAAAAGAGAGGAAGTAGGTTTATTGTCTCTTTTTATCATAGTCTGGAAACAACACCACCTAGCATCATCGTAGAAGATAAAAGTAATCCTCACTACATTTTAAATCAAGGCTTCATTCTTTCTTTCTTTCTTTCTCAGTTCATAAAATGTCTAACACCAGAAAATGTGAAATCATTTTTTTCTTTCAGCTGTTTACTTTGTAATCTGCCGAATTGAATCCTAAGGCTCTCTCCTTAGTCCTCTTTATTCAGTCAATCGAACGCAGACATTCATGAGTCTATCACACTAATCATCACAGTCTGGCATCAAAGTTGGAAGATCCTTAGGGTACCATTTTGTGTTTTAGCATAGCTGGTTAATGTAAATGGTTGCTGGGTGACCAACTCATCTTGCTCCATGGCTAGGTGTCTTGAGCAGTAGATCACTCGCGAGTTCTTGCTTTGCTCACCTGCAGTATCTCAGTTCTACTCATTTTCTAGCAGATCATTGTAGAAGTTTGTGCCTGATTTTCATTGCTAATATAAAATAACAGCAACTTGACACTGGCATTTATTTTGGTGTGTTCGAGATTGAAACCTTGCATTGTTCAGTTGAAGTTTTGTCTACAAATAAATACCTTAATGATAAAGGATTTAAAGTTGCTCTTTTGTCTTTATGAATGTCGGAAAGGAGTAAGCATTGGAACTGTAAGAAAAAACATTCAGGACGTTTATTTTGCTCATGCTCCAGCTCTTCAAACAGTCAAAAAGTGGTTAGGCAGATTTCCTCAAGGTGATTTTAAACTCTGGTTGACATCGATGAAGGACGCTTTTCTTGCCATAATGGGAAATAGACCAAAGCTTTTGACAGAATTGCTAAGAGTTTGAAAATTGATATCTCAACAGCCTTTTGCTATTTGAAGAGACTTGGGTTCAAGAAAAATGTTTGATTTTGGCAAATGATGTCATTTTCCACCATAAAAATGCAAGGCCAGATGTTGTGAAAGAAACCTTTCCGAAGATTAAAGAGTTGAAATAGGAAACCCACCAGCACTCACTATACTCTTCTGATTTTCATTTGTTCCTGGTCTCTACAGAACAACTTAAATGACAATAAATTTGACTCTGTACAAAAAATTACCTCACAACCTTCTTCCAACAAAAAAGACAACATTTCTATGAAAATGGCATCAATAAACTTGTAGAACGATAGGAGACAGTTGTTAAAATCTATGGAGACTATGTACTCAACTAATAAATGTTTTTTACATGTAAAATTTTTCTTTTAAAGTTTTTAATTTCCGAACCGGGCACAAAATTTTGTAATGCTTAAATCAACAATTCCTTATTCTATGTCTGCTAATGTACTTGACAGGTACTTATAAAATACTTTTTTACTTCAATCAACTCTCTTATTAGTTAATTATCCAATAAATCAAGTCTAATCGCAACCAATTAACACCACCATCACCTTTTGTGTTACAAACAAAAACATTTTTACTCAAATGACATTTTTGTCATGCTAGACAAATTTTCTCACCAGAACCTATCTTGCATATTTGTATGTCCAACAGACATTGAATATTATTGCCACATTTAGTCTGATTCTTCAGATATGTATCTATAAATAATTGATAAAATCCAAAGTAGAATCTGCAATGTTATCAGTCCTGACCTGGCATCTCAGCTTCAATCACTTTTTCATCATCATTACATAGTTTCCCATTGCCTTTTCTATAAATATTTTAATAGCAATTGTTCTGATGATCTTGCCTCTTTGATACTTTGACTTCACAAATTTAAACATAGTACTAGATTGGGAGTTAGGTCTCATAATTTTTCTGTTGAAATTGCTAGATATAATCACAAGTTCTATTCTAATAGTTTCTTCTCTACTTCTCACCTATGGAACTCACTTTGGGCTTCTTGCTTTCCTGTTAACTAGAATTTTCAAATCTTTAAATGAAGTGTCAATCATCATCATCTGTCTTTTGTGATGCTGTTCTTTTATTCTTTCTTAACTTTTTCACAGTTTCTTTCATTCTCAGTAACCTCTTGCATCTCAGTGGCTTTGCTGCTTTGCATGGGGTGAAATGGTTAAAAGAAATCCCTAATACTTTGGTTACAAATAATGAGTGTTGGTCCCACAAGAAACTGCTCTTTATTTATCTTGGAAGATCTATCCCCATCATCACCTGTGACCACTGTCAACCTGACAAATGCATCAACTCCAGACCCTAATAACTCTACCCTTCCTCCAAATCTCTTCCCTTGTCCACATAGAGACATTCTGCACACATTCTCTGTGTCAGCAATACAATGAAGTTTATATTAACAATTCTTGTCTTCTATTCTTTTTTCCTTGACAGTACTTGTTTTGTCTGTTCTCTTGCGCTACTATATGCAGGTTTATAACAATCAATTCCACTGATTCAGACCTTCACAACATGTACATGCCATGCTATGACCCTGAGTTGAATCATCCACATCTACGTTATACTTTGACAGGGTATCAGTGTTTATATTGAGGTGCAATTTTAGTGCCATGGGCACCAATTTCCACAGACATGCCTTTGTGTGTGTCTAACCAAATATTAGAGAAACATTTAAGCCATGATATTCTTTTGGGGAAGCTATATTAAACACAATTCAAGATGATTGGAGATTTGCAACAGGCATTCCCTCTCACTTAACTCAGACCATTCACTGAAGAAATAAGTGGCTTGTAATTTCCAATACCTTAAAAACTAAGCTACTATTGTTTCATCCTCTTCGTTCGGATCACGTTTTCTTAAGTTATGGTATTTAGTTTCACTTTCAATGAAACTTGATACTTTGAATGTCTTGGGTCTTAAATTAATTCCCAATCTCAAGTCAAACACATGTATGATCCGTGGCTGAAGATGCTGGAAAAAATGGTTGGCTTATTCTACTATTCCAAGAAGTTTGGGATATTGCTACCACATTGTGTCTGGTGCTTCTGTTATGTATTCAGAGATTCTTGATAAAATCGAAAGAATCTGCAATATTATTGGTCCTGACCTGGCATCTTTCCTTCAGTCACTTCACACTGCTGTAACATAGCTTCCCTCTGCCTTTTCTATAAACACTTTCATGGTAAGTTTTCTGATGAACTTTACACTATGGTACCTAGACTTTATGAATTTAAGTGCAGTACTAGATTGGCAGTTTGGTCTCATCATTTTACAGTTGAAATGACTAGATGTTACCATAAGTTCTATTCTAAGAGTTACTTCTCTTGTGTTTCTTGCTTGTGTAACTCTTTTCCAGCTTCTTGCTTCCCAGCCAACTTTGATCTCCAAAAGATTTAAATCCAATGTCAGTCATTATCTTCTGTCTTTGTAATTCCAGTTCTTTTATTGTTCTCCCTGCTTAATAGTGTTTTTTTTTTTTATCTCATATTCTCTAATACTCAGTAATGTAGAAA